CCCTAGGGTTCTTTGAAATTTTGAAAATATTGCCAGCTCCCCCAACCCCTGGCTTTCCTTCTTTAGTTCTGAGCCTACAGGACACCAGGATGCTGTGCCCCTGGGTTCAGCAGGCAGGTTCTGCTTTCCTGGTAAAGTTACAGCTAACAGGCATTTTCCAGAGGCTACAGATGAGCGGCCACGCCTTGGGTAGCAGTGGAAAGATTATTTTTGCTGCATCTGTTCACATTTTTTTCCCTTTGTTTGCTTGTTAATCCTCACCTGAGGATATTTTCCCACTGATTCTTAGAGAGAGTGGAAGGGATGGGGAGACACACAGAGAGAGAAATATCGAGGTGAGAGAGACACATCGATTGGTTGCCTCCATTGGGGCTGGGGATGGAGCCTGCAACCAAGGTATGTGCCCTTGACCAGAAATGAACCCATGACCCTCCAGCCTATGGGCTGACACTTAGTCTATCCACTGAGCCAAACAGGCCAGAACTGTACACATTTTTTTTTTAAGATTTTTAAAAAATAGATTTTTGAGAGAGAGAGAGAGAAAGGGAGAAGGAGAGAGAGAGAGAGAGACAGGAGACAGAGAGAGACAGAGAGAGAGAGAGAGAGAGAGAGAGAAACAATGATATGAGAACAAAACATCAATCAACTGCTTCCTGCACACCCTCTATGGGGGATCGATCCCATATGTTCTGACCAGGAATCGAACCAGCAACCTTTCGGTGCATATGTTCTGACCGGGCATATGTTCTGACCGGGAACCGAACCAGCAACCTTTCGGTGCACTGATGCATCTGTGCACACCCAGGGATGCATCACCCGATCTAATGTGGATTGAAATCAGGTGGAAGAAGGCTGTCCACTCTCCTGCCCACACAGGGATGATTACTCCGGACAGCTCACCCTCTCCCAGGCCTCTGAGAGCTGTGAGTGCCTGGTCTTGGGGACCCCACTGCCCAGGGAGGGCAGTGCTCTAGAGATTAGTGCCTACTCTGGAGGTACCTGGGCCCCTGCAGAGAAGGTAGGTTGTAGGTGTAGGATGCTGACTCCCAGGGTGTCTTGTTGGAGTGACAGGGCAAGAGGCACAAGGAGGGATTTGACAGAAGGCATGGGGCGGGGGGAGGGGGTGTACCTGAGGGGATGAAAAGAATAAGCAAGTTCAGGAAGCTGCCTTGGAAGAGAGACCCAGCCATAGTCCACTTCCTCCCAAAATGCTCAAAAAGAAAGATGCTGCACAGCCGGGCAGGCATCCCCATCATGCCAGGAATGATCTCGCTCATCTGGTACTTCACACCAAAATCCCTCATCTTCAAGGTCAGTGTAGAATAGCTGTGACCAACACTGAACCTGGAATGAGACCGGAAGATAACTACTCAGAGAGAACGAGAGAGAGAACACATACACAGATACCCTCATGCAGACGGGGCAAAATGAAGACAGAAGCGAAGGGGGGGGGGAGCAGGGTGGGAATGAAAGGGAGAAATACACACAGATCTGGAATCTACCGGCCACGCCGGTCCTTAGGCCTTGCTCCCTTGCAGCCAGGCCATGCCCCATTCCTTCACCAGAGCTCCTGGCATGCACTTGCGTTTACAGTCCCTGCTGGCCAGCCTTGGGGACTCACCACACACAGCCCATCACCAAGGTCACCTTGCGCAGTTGACTATTGTTATAGAAGTCCAGGATGGAGGCATTGGTCACCTTCTTTCCAGGCATCTGTAGCTACAGGACAAAGAGGACCAGCCAGAGGCAGGGCGGGGACCCCAGCTTGCTCCCACCCCTAGAAGACCCACAGGGCCCTGCCCCCACAGTGCCAGCCTGGTCTCTGGTCTTCCCCTGACGGGATTTGATTTTGCTGCCAATGTTCCCTTCAAGCAGTGGGCTGGAGACACCCTCGGGGCCAACGCCCCACCTGAAAGGATGAGGCGGGAAGAGGCCCTTCCACAACCCCCAGCCCTGCCCTACACTGGGCCCAAGGCCTCTTACCTTGTCCAACAGACTTAAAGGAATGGTCCTCTTGTTCATGTCAGCTGCATAGCGCAGTACGTGCTTGGCCTCCTCCACCTTCCCCTTCACCAACAGCCACCGAGGGGACTCTGGGAGAATCCTGCACGGCACACTCTCCTTTATTCATCACTCCAAGATGCCCCGGACACCCAAGTGGGCCCCATCTCTGCCTCAGGGGTGGCCATCCTGTTCCAGCATGAGGTCATTCAGATAACGGAGGCCCTGAAGGTGACCGTCAACCTCAAGGTGTCCTCCGTCCCTCCTTGGAAGTCACCCCTTCCCCTTCCTAAGCCACACACAGGTCCCGCAGCTGCTCGGTGTCACCCTGGCCATTATTTCCCCTGCCTGGCAGTGTCTCTCCTCTCAGCCACCTTGAAGAGCTCAACTACTTTCTATCTCAAGGGTCATCCTCACCTGCCCGGGCACTGTCCTCACACGGAGGGCACTGTCTTCCATGCCCACACCCTCTATTAGAGCCCATCCACATAGCTGGGATTTCAGCCCGACACTGTGGAAAAGTCCCCTAAGTGGCTCCATTTTTCAGTCCCTCCTCATTCCTCAACTACCTGTCGCTCCGGGGAAGTCAACTCAAGGTTATCAAGACCAACTTTACGAGACTCTTTTTTGTTTGCCCTCAACCCTGACCATTCCTTGTCCTTGAATCTTGCCCTTTGACACGTTGCCTTTTGGTTTTCTGACCGGCTCTGACATCCCTCTAAGGGTCTCTTCTGAGGAGGGTTAATGCTGGGGTCCCAGAGGCTCTGCCCCTGGCTCTCTCTCATCTCATCCCCACGTTCCTCCCAGGGAGCAATCCACTCACTCCATCCCTTCCAACCCTCAATCTCCAAGTCCATCGGACCCAGCCCCGGGCGTGCCCCGGGCCCCTCGGCTTACCAGATAAAGGAGACGAGGAATAACACGGGGGCCGTGCCCAACAGAAACAGCAGCCGCCAGTTGGGAAAGCTGTAGGCAAACGCGCTCAGGAAAATGAGCCCCAGAGAATAGAAGCACTGGCTCAGGATGATGGCGTGGGCCCGGTGCTCGCCCACCAGCCACTCGACAGCTGTGCAGAAGCCAAGAGGACAAAACCCGGGTTAGCTCGGGGTCCCTGGGGCGGCTCCTGCAGCCAGCCTTCTGAGACGCCCAGCCCCGCGTGGGACAGTTCAGACTGAGCACACATTCTCTGTCCCTCTAGGCAGCCTGAGGCGGAGGCTGCTTCCTCCGCTCCATGTGCCATTGGATGGCAACTCGGTCCTGCAGGCTCGTGGCCCCTCCCCCCCACCCCCATCCCCCCAAATCCCGCCCTCCCGGTGCACACTCCCCTCCGTGCAGCCTGGCCTCACTTAAAGCCATGCTGCTGATGCTGTGGCCCACCAGGGCCTGGGACACCCCGAAGCGGAAGAACAGGTACTGGTGAAAGCTGTTGACGAAGGCTGTCCCAAAGCCAAAGATGATGATCCCCACGTTCGACAGCAGGATGGAGGGGTAGCGGCCAAGCCTGCGGGCATCGAGGGAAGGCTGTGTCCAGCGCGTGAACCTCCGAGTCTGGACCCAGCCCAACGCTCGGGCCAGGTCCTGAGCCATCCGTGGGCCTCCAGAGTGTCCCCACCCTTGCCTCCCTCAGTCTGAGACGCCTCAGCTCTGCATGCCCATGAGGAGGAGGCAGGGGCACCCCAGGGACCAGAAGAAACTCTGGGAGACTCACTTGTCACTTATGAACCCGAAGATGAGCGCCCCTGTCAGGAGGCCTGTCAGGAACATGGACTGCACGGCTTCCGGGGAAAATTCCTCACCACACACCAGATCAAACTGGGGATTACACGCAGGGGTTGGCCACAGGCCTCCACCCAGGGTCAGCCGTCTGGTTCCCGAGACGGAGTCTCCTCCCAGGGTGGGCGTTTAGGCAGAAGGGGCCTGGGACAGGGACAGGCAGCAGGCCTCAGCTGTCACCCCTGCCGTCCATCCTGCATCTGGCACACTCTGGGAGTTAGGCCTGAAGAGAGGGACCAGGGGCAGAGCCAAGATAGGGGGTAGATGGAGAGGTCCCCGTTTAAAGGCCAACATCACTAAAGACCCTTCCCCAAATGCAGATGCTGGGCTCCAGCCCAGAGGTTCAGATTGGCAGGTCTGTGCTCTGAAGGGCCCAGGTTGCATCTTAGACTGCTTTTTTCCTCCAGTTCCCGACCTTCTGTGAGTTCAGAGGGCAGAGCCACAACTGCAGAAGCAACTCCCTGGACAGATGGCAAACCCTGCCTCTGTCCCTACCCCCAAAGCCACTCTAGCTTTCTGGCTACGATGGGCGAGGCTAGAGCTGGGCAGCAAGAATTCTAAGTTTCTGCCTCGGCCCTTCCTCTCTGCACGGTGACCTTGGGCCAACTGCTTCCCCTCCCTGAGTCTCAGTTTCTGCACTTGTTTGGGGAGGGCGGGGGCACATCTCTGGGCCCATGCTACCGGCAACTCAGGGCAAGTCGCACCTCATTGATCACTGATCGCGTCGTGCTCTCAGGATAGACCCACCCCTGGCTGCACGACTGTGTGTAGTTGAGGCCATACTTGATGATGGAATCCAGATCCCAGCTCACAGGCAGGAACATGCGGCAGGTCAGGAAGCTGCCATTTCTGTCCCGGGGCAGGGTCAGATTCAGCTGCTCGGCCTCTGACAGGTTAGGGCCCACGGCCAGAATCCAGCTGGTGTTGCAATAGGCCTTCTGCTCTGCGGCCACGAGGAGGTCAGCGTACATGAACACGACCGCCAGGAGGTTGGGGATGAAGGCCAGGGCCACCAGCCTTCGCTGGAAGGGGCCAAACTTCCCCATCGCTTCCATGATACTGGCAAACCTGTCACCCTGGTTGCTGTCTATGGACCTCAACCTGCGTAACAACAAGTCCAGAGACCAGGCACGGGGTTGTTCTGCCGCCATCTGCTGGGGTAAGTCCCTGTAAGAGGACCGGGATTGGGGCTCCACTGAATTGTCTTCATGTGCCATCTGTTCAGAGAAAGGATGCAGCTCAGTGTCTACCAACCAGAAGTCAGGGGCTGGCGTGGAGCCACTGACTTGAAATTGGCCTGTCTTAGAACAATTTGGATTCTAACCTTGATGTTCTCTGTAGCTCCCCGCTTTGCTTCTGAAGTTTCTTAGTTAATTTGTCCCCCATTGGTCCGCCCATTCCTATTTCTTGAATGTTTTAGACAATGCCCTGCTAAGTGCTAAGTTCTCCGACAATTTCCCTGCTGCTGAAACTTAGTTTACACACACACACCAAGGCACTACCAGTCTTGCAAAAGTAGAGTTCTCCAGGGAACATTGTTTCAAGAAAACAGCACCAAAAATACTCCCCAAATCTAGATCAGGAGTGGCCAGGAACGAAGGCCACAGAGATGGAGCTGATGCAGTGAGGCACCAAAAGAGTAGAATGAGCCCAGCCAGCGTGACTTAGTGGTTGAGAGTTGACCTATGAACCAGGAGGTCACGGTTCGATTCCCAGTCAGGGCACATGCCTGGGTTGTGGGTTCGAGGAGTGTAGGAGGCAGCCAATGAATGATTCTTTCTCATCATTAACTAGAGGCCCAATGCATGACATTCGGGCACTGGGGTGGGGGGGGTGTCCCTCAGCCCAGCCTGCACCCTCTAGCAGTCCGGGACCCCAGGGAGTGGGCCTAAGCCAGCAGTCGGACATCCCCTGAGGGGGTCCTTAGCGCTTCAGCCACCGCTGCTATGCTCGCCAGCCATGAGCCCAGCTTCTGACTGAGCGGCGCTCCCCCTGTGGGAGTGCACTGACCACCAGGGGGCAGCTCCTGCATTGAGTGTCTGCCCCCTGGTGGTCAGTGCATATCATAGCCACTGGTCGTTCCCCTCTTCAGTCGATTTGCATATTAGCCTTTTACTGTATAGGATGTTTCTATCTCCCTCTCCCTTCCTCTCTGAAATCAATAAAAATATATTTTAACAAATATGTGCAAAGATACCCATTAGGGTGGCTAATACTTAAAAAAAAAACAAAAACCAGAAAACAGCAAGTGTTGTTGAGGAAGTGGAGAAATTGGAACCTTGTACAGTGCCGCTGGGAATGTAAAATGGCAGCCAAGGAATGCAGGCAGCTCTAGCTGGAAAGGGCAGGAGAACGAATGCTCCCCAGGAGCCTCCAGGAAAGAACGCAGCCCTGCTGACTGACGCCTTGACCTATGCCCAGTGAGGCCCATTTTGGACTTCCGACTTCCAGAGCTGCGATGTAATAAATGTGTGTTGTTTCGAGCCACTAAATTTGTGGTCATTTGTTACAGCAGCATTAGGAAACTAATACGGTGCATACATGTGTAAGGTTGGAGGGGGGCGGAGGTGGATGGAGGAGACTTCCCAGGGAGGGCACTTTGCTTTGCCCACAGATCTCTGGCTTTCAGGAGCCAGCTGTCCCCACCTTGCCCTCGGGGTTCCCTTCAGTGTCCCCCAGCATCACCTGAATGCCCACGGGGATCTTGACAGTCAGCAAGGCCCTGGAGCACTTGCTCCCTCTACTGACCCCACAGGTCCCCTGCCAGGTAGACAGGCCCAAGGTAATTGGTTCTCAATGTACAAAAGAGGAAAGTGAGCCCTGAACAGTGTTCTCAGTGGTTAGAGCATCGGCCCAAACACTGAAGGGTCTCAGGTTCGATTCCCAGTCAAGGGCACCTACCTGGGTTGCAGGTTTGATCCCCAGCCCCATTCAGGGTGCATACGGGAAGCAACCAATCTATGTCTCTCTCTCACATCAATGTTCTCTCTCTCTCCCCGCCCTCTTCCCTCCTCCCCTCCCACTCCCTCTAAAAAACAAAAACAAAAACAAAAAATCAATAGAAAAAATATCCTTGGGTGAGGAGTAACAACAGAAAAAGAGGAAACTGAGTCCTGGAAAATAAACATATAGCCAGAAGCAATACTCCATCTGAGGCAGGAAATGGCCAGGTGCCACCCCAAACCCACACTTCCTGTGAGGGCAGCCTGCTCCTTTCACAGACTCCCCACAGTCGAACGGTCCTGGCAGGCTCCCGTCCACATCTGTGCTGAGAATACGGCCCCACACTTGCCAGGTGTCATCAAAACTGCCACCCTCCCCGTCCCTCCTCCCTGGAGACGGAACCACAAACCAAAGCCAGGACCCACCTCAGCATACTCCAGGCCTAGCCAGGTGGTTGGCAGCAGAACCTTTGGGTTCCATTGGTGGCCAGGAAGTAGTGTCACAATGGGGCAGGGGGTGGGGTAGGCATGGTGAGGAGCGGCATTCTACTCCAGGGGCATAGCTGGCCACAGACCCCAGGGAGAGACTGGGGCAAGGCAGGTGGGAAAGTCTCCACACGAGCCAGCTCCAGGCCTTTGTGCAGACTGTTCCCGGCTCCTGGAGCCCCTGCCCTCCCCTTAAAGGTCCCACCTCCACTGAGGGAAGATCTTCCATCTGCCCAGACACAACTCACCTGTCCTCAGTCCCCAGGCCTACGGTGGGGGAGGGAGGAGAGGCAGAGGGGGGATAGGACCCCCTTCAGCTGCTCCCAGATCTGGGGGCAGCGGTGAGCGCTGAGCCTCGTGCCTGGCCCCCTAGCAGCTCTGTGCAGGGCAGTTCTTCCACTGCCTCAGGAGGGAGGGGAGAGAGCGGAGGTGGAAGACTGGTGGTGAGAAGTCTGGGAGCTGCCATAGGATGGCTTCTCCTTCTCTGGAAGGAGGAGAGGCTGTTAGGAGGCAGAATAAAGGGATGCAGATGGGAGGTTAGAAAAAGCCATTGGTGAGCCCGGCCGGCATGGCTTAGTGGTTGAGCGTTGACCTGTGAACCAGGAGGTCACGGTTCGATTCCGGGTCAGGGCACATGCCCCGGTTGCAGGCTCAATTCCCAGTAGGGGTGTGCAGGAGACAGCTGATCAATGTTTCTCATTATTGATGTTTCTATCTCTCCCTTTTCTTTCCTCTCTAAAATCAATAAATAATAAAAGCTTAATATACAAATTGACCAAACTGTGAAACTACTGGTCGCAATGAGGCGCACTGACCACGAGGGGGCAGGCGCTCAATGCAGGAGTAATAAAAGCTTAATATGCAAATTGACCAAACTGCGAAACTACTGGTTGCAATGAGGCACACTGACCACGAGGGGGCAGGCGCTCAATGTAGGAGCTGCCCCCAGCCTGCTGGCCCCAGGCCAGCCAAAGCAGGTACCAGTGGGGCCCCCAATTGCCCCTCCGGTTGCCCTGGCAGAAGGAGGTGACAGGCAGCGGCAGCAGGGAGATTGTGGGGCGGGGCTGGCTGGCAAGCAGGTGGCGCCAGGCTGGTCAAGGCAGGTGCCAGTGGGGCTCCCCCCCCCCCCCCACTGGTTGCCCCACAGATTGGTCCTGATCGCTGGCCAGGTCTAGTCCGAGCGAAGACTGAAGACTGAAGAGGCGTGGCTTCTCCACTGTGGCCGGAGCAAAGGCCTGAGTCCCGGGTGCCAGAGGAAAACTGGTGCCGGCAGCCAGGGGAAGGAAGGCCTATTGCACAAATCTCTTCATGCAACAGGTCTCTAATATATATATATATGAAAAGAAAAAGCCACTGGTGAGAGTTGGAAAACAAGCTGACTAGAAAAAGCTGGTGGGAAAGCTGGGTGCAGTGAAAGGCCCAGTTGAGGCTGATGACTAGCAGCTCATTCACTGAAAAGACGTGGCGGGCGTGTGACCCTCTAAAGCAGTGCCCCGCAGTGCCCAGCAGTCTGGGGTGCAGGGAGAGAAAAGGTAGATGTTTGGGTTCTTTAGCTGCTGTGGTTTTGCAAATTGGGGCAACTTGGGGCACAACTAAAGGGTGAAGGGATAACGTACAGGATGCTGGCAAATGATGTCCATCTCTCCATAGAAATGAAAATGATGGCTTACATCCTCAAATCTGAGGACAGAGGTGGGGAGGCAGAACAAGGTCTACCGACCACAGGGCCCAGTGGATGGTGTTGTAGACAATGTGTCCTCCCCCAGTCTCCCACATTTCCATGTTGAAGCCCTAAACCCCAGTGATAGGTAAAGATGGGCCTTGGGGCCCTAACCGGTTTGGCTCAGTGGATAGAGCAGTGATGGTGAACCTTTTGAGCTCGGTGTGTCAGCATTTTGAAAATCCCTAACTTAACTCTGGTGCCGTGTCACATATAGAAATTACTTGATATTTGCAACCATAGTAAAACAAAGACATATTTTTGATATTTATTTTATATATTTAAATGCCATTTAATAAAGAAAAATTAACCAAAAAAATGAGTTCGCGTGTCGCCTCTGACACGCGTGTCATAGGTTCGCCATCAGTGGGATAGAGCGTCAGCCTGCGGACTCAAGGGTCCCAGGTTCGATTCTGGTCAAGGGCATGTACCTTGGTTGCGGGCACATCCCCAGTGGGGGGTGTGCAGGAGGCAGCTGATCGATGTTTCTAACTCTCTATCCCTCTCCCTTCCTCTCTGTAAAAAAATCAATAAAATATATTTTAAAAAAAAAAAAAGATGGGCCTTGGGGAGGTAATTTGGGTTAGATGAAGTCATGAAGGTGGGCCTTCCTGATGAGATTAGTGGCTTTCTAGGAAGGAGAGAGATCTCGCACCCTCCATCCACCTTGGAGAGGTAATTTGGGTTAGATGAAGTCATGAAGGCGGGCCTTCCTGATGAGATTAGTGGCCTTCTAGGAAGGAGAGAGATCTCGCACCCTCCATCCACACACAGAGGACAGACCATGTGAAGGCACCACGAGAAGGTGGCTGCCTGCAAGCCAAGAAGAGGGCCCTCATCAGAACCTGCCCCTGCTGGCACCCTGATCTTGGACTTCCAGCCTCCAGGACTGTGAGAAAATAAATTACTGTTGAAAGCCACCCACCTGTGGCACTGGGTGAACGTAAGGCCAGGTCAGTGGGTTGGACTCGGTGGGGACAGTGTCAAAGTAGAGGAGGTGGCAGGGGAAGTGCGGGTGCCTTAGCCTTTGACAGTGACATAGGAAACACAAGATGCACAGCACAGGGCTCAATCTCAGGGGTCTCTCTGAGGAGGGCGGGCACTAAGCCTGGTGGCCAGGGGGCTCCTCCTGGGCAGAAGCCAAGGAAACCGAGACGCTAACCCCTCCCTGACAGAGGAGTGGGTGAGTGGGCAGCGAGTGAGGCAATGTCCAGGGTGGCTGAGTCAGGGCCACACTTGAGGACTCAGTCCAGCCCAGTGCCTGGCAGTGTCCTGGGGGTGGAGGGTGGCCCTCCTTTCCTATCTCCTTGGACCCTGGGGGCAGACTGTGAAGCCCTCTGCCTGTCACACCCAGCCAGGGCCGCCAAGAGGAGTCCTTGCTGATTAGT